GGCATAGGGGGGAGCCGAGAGCAGGGCTGTAACAAGGGTGAGGTGAGTGAGGCACTTTCCTTGGCGCACAGCTGAAGGGGCGCAGTGCTGCAGCTGCGTGCCATGTCTGAGGTTTCAGGAAGTGCATGGGCTGCACTTCCTCTCCCCAAACAGCTGGCACACTGCCTGAAAAACCGGGTCTGTGGCGCACCGGTGACTTCCATCCTGCGTGGGGGAAAGGGAGAGAGTAGCAGTCCTGGGACTCCCACTCCTCTCCCCTCCCCTCCCCTTCTCACCCCAGAGGCAGCCAGCAGGAGAAGGAAGTCACCAACACGCCACAAACCCAGCTGTTCAGGAAACGCGCTAGCTGTTTGGTGGAGGGGGAAGCAACACACATGCTTCCTGAGACCCCAGACCTGGTGCATAGCTCCAGGATCCCCAGGTACTGGCCCAGCTGTCCTACCAGCACCTTGCCCCAGCACCCACCATCACCCTGTCCCAGGACTCTGTGTTCTGTCCTCAGCACCAGCACCCTGTTGTCCCCTGCCCCCATCTGCACTCTGTCTCCTGCCCCCATCTGCACCCTGTTGTCCCCTGCCTCAGCACCCTGTCCCCACCAGCACCTTGCTCCCTCCCCCAGCACCCACCATCACCCATCAGCACCATATCCCCTGCCCCAGCACCTTGTTTCCTGTCCCATCACCCACCATTACTCTGCCCCAGCACCCTGTCCCCTGTCCCAGCACCCTGTCCCCTGCCCCCACCTGTCCCCTGTCCTCTGCCCCAGCACCCTGTCACAACCCCTGCCCTCACCAGCACCTTGCCCCAGCACCCACCAGCACCTTGTCCCAGCACTCTGTCCCCTGCCCCCACCAGCACAGTTGGGGCCACATTAGTGAGGCTTGGGATTTTTTAAGATTTTTTTTGCATTCTCTTATGTGGCCCTGGCTGACTTTTCTATGGGTCAGTGACCCCTGACTCAAAACAAGTTCCCTGCCCCTCTCATACACAAAGACAACATTGAAACTTTTTGTGTTTGACATATTTTATTTATAAATGAACAACAACAAGCACCCAATTGGGGCTAAGCCCCCATCTGGCTGCAGCATCATAACATTCCTGCACCCTTCCTCCCCCCGACCCCAAACCTGAGCCTAACATACACTGGAACCGCCTGTCCTGAGCTTCTCACATCCCCAAACTCCTGCACCCCCACATACCCAGTCTTCTGCCACAACACTCCTGCACCATCCACACACTGTAAACCTGTATCCTGAGCCCATCATACTCCCAACCTCCTGCCCTGAGCCTCTCCCCCTCGCATCCACAAGCCGGCAGCTTGCTCAGCACCCCAATCCTCCACCTGACCCCAACACTCCCCAGCTTGGAGCCCCCTCCCTGAGCCAGCACCCCCTTCTCTACTTCCTCCTGCACCCAAATTCCCTCCCAGGGCTTGCACCTCACACCCCTTCCCACACCCAAATCCCTCATTCCCATCTCCAGAGCCCGCACCTTCTGTTTCAGCCCAGTGAGAGTGGCTCTTGTCTGAAATGTCCTGTAATATTATTTTTATCACTATATTATATGTACTATATATATCTACCTATATAGATAGATAGATAGATAAAAATAAATATATAATACATGGCTGGCTCTTCACACTCTATCCACCGCTGTTTTGGCTCTTCGTCTCTAACGGGTTGGCCACCCCTGCTGTAGGGTTCGGCATGGAGACGTCCACATAAAGCCTGACTGTGTCTGTTTCCCTTGCTTCCACAGAAGTCTGTGAGGTTGGTAGTGAATTACCTGAAGACACACAAGGCTGTGGTTCGAGTGAGTCCTGAGGTGCCTCTGCACAGCATAATTCCAGCCATTTGTGAAAAGTGCGAGGTCAGCCCCGAGCATGTTGTGCTCCTGAGGGACAGTATCACTGGGGAAGAGCTGGAACTTACAAAGTCCTTGGATGAGTTAGGGATAAAGGAGCTATATGCCTGGGACAGGAAAAGAGGTGAGTCTAGACGCACGCTGTCTGCTGTGAGTTTAGCATACGCCAACAGTTGCACATGCCATATTATCAGTATTTACATCTTTGGTACTTTAAAACCAGATTTAAATAGAAGGGTGACATTCACATCAGCTTTACAGAGCTACTCAGGTTTTATAATCAAGGCCAGTAGCAGCAGCGAGGATAACAGTGCATTCAGCTGCCACCCAGGAGTCCCCAGATTGTAAATAGCGTGACTTGTTTCTGGGCATCATGCCAATAGAGGCCAACAGCTGTGAAGGAGATGATTGGCTCCGTCTAAACACAAAAGGAGGAGCTTCATTGCCTCTGAGGGCTGCTGCCAACGGGGGCACACAGGGCACTGGTGCAGTGTCCAGACGGACACTTGTGCTGTGACACAGAGAGCAAGGGAGAATTAACATGCCATCATCATGGCAGCTGATAGACATGAGAGGAACAGAAATAGACCAGGGCTTATGAGAAATAATTGCTATTAAATTCCAAAGCAATTCCTTCTGTGAACAAAGGTATTTACCCTTAACGAAGAGGAACCTACAAGGTATTTTTATTTAAAATTTTCTCTTGTGTTTTCTCTCCTCCTCTAAACAATATTCTAATGCCACCTTCCTGAATTTCAGTTTGTTCAGACAGCCCTTGGATCCAGAGAGCATAAATATTAAATGTGCTTTAAACATTCTAGGCCAACACTATCCAAACATGATTTTCATTTAAAATTGGTTTTCGTTTTTTCTCTGAGTAGTTCTTCCAGCAGAGTTGATGTCATTGTTTATTGTTTAGATAATGACACGACTGCATATGGTGCTAGACAGGCTTATTTTTTATTTACATAGTAATTTATTTATGTTGGTGTTTGGGCTCTTCTTTCAAATCCATCCATTAAATGACAGTTTTACCGTGGAATGATCTACATTTCAATGAGTTTAGGCTTTTAACTAAACTGTTTCCTTTCTCTTTGATATGGCAGGAGGCTCACAAGTCACCCACAAATTAAAGTGCCAGAACTCAAACGCTGTTTCTCTTTTATTTAGACATATTTATAGTGAAACACTTTGAAGTAGCACATTAAACATACAGTGTTTGTCCTTATAAAATGGCATATTTCAGAGATCTCTCGCTAGAATTAGTCTTGGACTTGTTAAAACATTTTTATTTTAGCATTTGGACCAGAAAAGTGGCTAAGTGCACTGTGTACAATGTCGGCCCCAATCATGTCATTGTTTTTGTACCCTTGAAGAGCCCTATTGAAGTCCATGCTTGCAAACTCAGTTGCAGGATTTGGACCCTAAGACTAGTCTGTAATTTTACCCATTGCATGAGGTGATTGATGCAAGAGATTAAATTTTGTTCCTCAATTAACCATTTTATTAGAACAATAATATATTTGAGCCCACACATCTCTGCAGGTTTTATACTTTCCTGTTGCTTTTTCATTTTTATCTATCTGCCTGTCTGTCTGTCAGTCCTGAGGAATAAAAAGAAATAATTTTAGTAGAGTTTCCCCAGGGTCATCCTGCAAAAACAATATTCCCCTCAAGACTTTGCTGGTATCAAGATTGTCCCTACCCCACAGACATCACAGTGAGGAAATTATCATTAAATTCAGTGGCAATAACCTATTCCTCTGGGTTGCAGAGTAAGGTCCTTAGTCTAGTTTGTTATCAGGTGGACAAAATAGATTGCTCCAACATATTAGCTCATTAGCAGGATCTTCCATGTAACTTTGAATATGATAGTAGATATACTCAAAACTCAGACCATTTGAAGAGCAAAGTCTAGTTGAAAAATTCCTCATCTGAGATCCCAGCACTTCGTTCTAAAGTTCCACTGAGTCTATCATTAAAAGAGAAACTCTGCAACCACCTGGTTACATATTTCTCTTAGAAGTTTAAGCAGCTTTAATAAAGATAGAGAATGGACCGTGGCTTCTAATAGCAGCCTTGGATGTCCAGTTTCAAGAAAAAAATAAGACCTCTTTCTTTACAGTGTTTCAGAAGACAAATATTAACGGTTATGGATAATTTTTGTGGTTTATCAGGTGGTGTCAAAGTTAATGTGTTTTCTCTTGTCCTTCTATTGCCTGCCTTTTCCAGTTCTTCCATCAAAAACTCAGTCTGAACCTTCTCTGAGCTATAGAGGTACTGTACAACGATGCTTGGGGGAATATATTTTCCGCAAAAGGGTGTCTATAGCATGGCTTTGGTAGCATACAGAAATGTCATGGCATAAAATACTGCAGGGAATAGAGTTATTTGCATTATCTGTTTTATATCACAGATAGTAATTGTGATACAGACAGACTGCTTCACTTGCCTATATTTCTTGCCAAACTTGGAGAGGGAAAAAAATTGTCACAGAATGCTTTCCGTTAAAATGTCAATATTTAAAAAAAAAAAAAAGGTTATGCCCGTGTAGAGAACACAGGGGTAAACACCTGTTATCTAAAAATCTGATTATCTGGATTCATCTTAAATTCTGATATGTCCCATGATTTCAAAATTCATATATGAGCAAAATGAGAATGTTTTGATAGCCCTGGAGGCATTCAACTCATTGGAGTTTATCTATTCCTTGGTCTTGTAGGATACGAAAGAAAAAGTATAGGGTAGTGAAAACTTCTGTAGATATCAAGGATATCACAACTTGCCAGGAGGTAGAGGGCCACATTTAGGGACTGATCAATGGCCCTAATAAAGTCAGTGGGAGAACAACCTCATATTGGATCACAAAAAAAAATTATATGCACAATATTCTGATTCATATTGAGACCTTTGTGTGAAATTCTGGCCCTGCTGAAATCAGTAGCAAAATTGTTGGATTCGGTGGGGCCACGATTTCATCCCTTGAGTTTAGCGTTCTATGTCCTTATCAGCATTGTCTTCCTATTCAGAGGGTATAATATCAGTCATGAGGTGTCATGTGGACTTAAAAGGAAAATTTTGCTCTGAATTCTTGGAGGAAATACTATACATAATGCCTGAAATCTCATCTGAGTGTAAACTTTTAAAGGGACTTGTAATAAAGAGGGTTTGGCAACCTGTAAATTCACTATTGAAATTACATACTTTGGAAAACTGATCCCCGTGCAAGGACCCAGGTGCTGCCCCTGCACACAGTTCCATTGAAGTTAAGGGATCTTCTCAGATACAGAGATATGCTTATGTGCATCTGAGTGTACGTTTAGTGCAGATGCTCTTTAATAAACATGCATTTCCCTGATACATTTGGGGTCAACAGCTCCCAACCGTTAACTCCAACTTTGGCCTTTATTTTTAAGTATTAAAGGATGGTTTGTGCAGCCCTATTTACAATGAATCAATTCCAAACCTAAGCATGATGATAGCAATTTCAGACCAATGAATTCAGACGACGCTTAATAGTTCATACAGGAAGATACTTGGATAGTTAATTTGTTGGTATTTTTGTTGCGCTTTAGGGGCATTTTCTTCTTCAAAAGGTGTGGCGTGTGGATCTGTCTTTAATTTGTTCATCGTACTTATTCTTCTGCTATGCCTTCTAATATTTTCTAACACAAACTGTGTGCTTTTCATGACATGCAAAGAAGTTTTTCAAGAGTCCCCTTTGTCAAATGTATCATTTCATGGTAAAAAAAAAAAAGAACAATTTAAGGTCATTTTACTTATTTTTCATATTACAAAACAAAGTAAATTTTTTTTTAACTTGTGAATTTTTTCAGTGTGTTAAAACTTCTGCTGACATCAAGGCTATTACAACATGCCAGGAGCTAGAGGCCACATTTAGGGCCTGATTAATGGCCTAATAAAGTCAATGGAAGAACAACTGCATTGGTTTCAATGAGCATTGGATCAGGCCTCTAAGGTGACAGAACAAATGGCTGATCTGATATGTGAGGGAACTAACATGAATCAGAGTTAAGGGGTCAGAGTTGTTCAACTGGTGTATTGAATTCAGCTGCTTGAGGTCAGGATGGCCTTCCCAATTGGCTACTGGCCATGTAATGCAGTATCTCCTCATGCTGTTCATTATATCAGAAGCTGCCAATGAGAAAGTTGGGTGTAGAGCAGAGAATTTTGGGATATGCAATCACCTAGTGAGCACATGGCAGCCTGGAAAACATGGACTCTTTGGGGCTGTTTACTCATGGGCTACATTACCTCTCCCCTCAAACATCCATGGAAAGATCAAGAAAATGGTTATTAAATGGCAATACTAGTATGAGTAAAGATTGCAAATTCAGTCTCTAAAAGAGCTACCACTTCCACAGGAACAGCCACTTTTCCTATAACACAGCTTTAATTCACAACCCTCTGATGTCAATGGGAGTCTTTCCACTGGCTTCTGAAGGTCTTGAATCAGGCCCATGGGTTGTTAAAAAATTCTATTCATTTTTTCAAAGGAGCATCAGTGGGAGCGTGTGGGAAGAGGGTTGACTCCTAATATGTACTTTAAAGCATTTTCAAAGACTAAGGCCTTGTCTACACTAGGACTATTAGATTGAGTTAATTACGTTGGTTGGGAGCATTAAAAATCCACACTCTTGAGCAGTGTTTTTTAAGCTGACCTAAATCATCTGACTCTTCCATCAATCTGGTTTCTGCCTCTGGGGAAAGTGGATTACCTATTCAATGGGAAAATCCCTCTTGTCAACATAGGTAATGTCTCCACTGAAGTGCTACAGTTGCGTGGCACAGCCATGCCATTGCAGCTTCTGTAGTGTTTGATGTGGAGATAAGCCTAAATTAGTGTAGTAGTGTCTGAATGACAACTTCAGGGCTGATCTTAGAGCCCCTTATTCCTGTGCGCAATGCGTGATCCTGAGACTCAGGATTATAATGCGTCTCATCCAATACCTTTTAAAGTTAGTGGAAAGACTCCCTTTGGCTTCAGAGAGCTTTAGATCAGGCCCTAAATGAGACAGGATTTGATCCAAGTCAGGATCCAAGATCTATCACGTATATTATTTTGCCTTATGGCCAACCCTATGCACACACAACTTGTATTTCAGAAAGTAAAGGGTTAACATGGGATCATTATTTTTAAAACTCATTGGTTTTAACTACACTTTTGGGAGTGTAAAAAAAATAATCCAGTATCTTTGTTTCAGAGACAAGTCAAAATTCTTCAATAAGCAACGAAGCAACAGAAAAAGAAAAGAGAGGCTTTCTGGGATTTTTCAAAACTACTAAAAGAAGCAGCAAGGTAAGAGTTTTACAACCATTACCTATTCTATACTGAGCTGAAGATTTCTTTCTAGCTTTATTTGGGGGTGCCTTTTATTTATTTATTTTTCAAGGATTTGTTTATCTGCAAAATGGACAGTCATTTTTATCAACATATACCACAACTGTGCGGGTGGGGATGAGCTTGTCCTGATTTC